AATTATTGTAATTATGTATAATGAATGACTATTAATAATTTAATGATAAAAGCAAAGTTTTAACATACTAATCAAAAGTCTGTTAAAAAGGACAGAAACTCAACAGTAATTCACTCATGTGACTATAAAGCCCAGAAATAGAACTGGCAATAAGCCAAGATGGACCCAGAGGCTTGAGTAATTTTACAACTGCTTGATATCTTTTTGCTCTATTCTTTTGCTCCATCTCTTAGCTCTGCTTTTCTTTTTTTCATTTCATTTCCAAAGACACTCTCACTTTGCTGCAGAAAAAGATGACGTCCCTCTAAGCTGCTGTTTTAACCTAAAAGTCTAGACAGAGTACCTGCATTGATTTCTTGACTGAGTCTCATTACTCTGGCTGTTTAATGTCAGATGCATTTCTTGACCAGATGTGTTTCACGTTCTGTAGAGTGGAGGGTGAGTTAGGTTCACCTTGCATTGCTAAGAGACAGAAACAAATTCTTCCTCACAGGAAAATTGGAAGGGAGAGTGACTGCCAGTTAGGCAAACCCTGCTCCAGGAAGTCAAGGAAAAGACACCTTTGCATGTCTTTCTTGGTTGCGCTGCCTTTATCCACATGCAAAGATACTTTGTGTGTGCATTTTAAAATTAATTTTGTGTTTGGCTCTACCAATGATACTCTTCTCTCTTTTTTTGGTGACTTGAATGAGAATTTGTTGTTGTTATATGCTGTCGAGTCGCTTGCGACTCATAGCGACCCTATGTACAACAGCCCTAAACTGTGTTCTGTCCTGTGCCAGTCGCACTGTCTCTGTCACTCCCATTCCGATTACCCTAGTCACTGAATCCATCCACCTCATAGAAGGCCTTCCCCTCCTGCGCCGTCCCTCCACCCTCCCAAGCATGACGTCCTTCTTCAAGGACTGGTCTCTCCTCACAACATGTCCAAAATATGTTAGATGGAGCCTCAGAATCCTTGCCTCCAAGGAGCCACCTGGTTTAACCTTTTCCAGGACAAATCTGTTTGTTTTCCTAGCAGTCCATGGTATTCTCAATACTCTTCTCCAGCACCACAGCTCAAAGGCATCAATTCTCCTTCTATCCTCCTTGGTCATTGTCCAACTCTCTGATGCATAACAAGTGATTGCGAAGACCATGGCCTGTATCAGATGCACCTTAGTCTCCAGAGAGACAGCATTGCTCTTCAGTACTTTGGAGAGGTCCCTGACAGCAGACTTTCCCATGGCAATGCGCCTGAGAATTTACAAAGCAAATTAGTTTTTTGTTCAACCATTCATGCGTAATTTGTTATATAAAATTAATTATAACGCTCACGGTATAACCACACTTCTCCCGTTTATTTCCTTGTGATTTCCATTTCCATTAATCCTTCTACCCTACTCCTTCCTGCCTTCTTGGCTTTATCCTTGTGCAAGTGGTGCCCTGCCTCCATGGTATTACTGTTTACCCCATTGTTGTTGTTGCTGTTTGCTGTCAAATTGGAACTGACCCATAACTGACCCTCCAGTAAATTTTCAGAGGCAATAAATCTCATGGGAGGAGATTGCCCGTGCTTCTCCTGCAGAGCATCTGGTGATTTGAACTGACTGCCTTTGCGATTGAAGTGTAGCTTCTTAACACTAAGCCACCAGACCTCCCCTTTAGGTTTTTCCATTTTTGGTGGAAAGAACTATGGGAATGAGCCTTCCAGGTTCAGAGGGTGACTAAATGATATATTTTGGGGAGTTCCACCTGTCTGTATCAGACCAGCAATCCTGGCCATTTTTATGCTGTTGAGTTTTCTTCTGGTCTGTCCAGGACCAGATTCTATGCTCTCTTAGTCAGTAGTCAGCAGTAGTAGTTGGGCAAGTCAGAAGAGTGCCCTTTTATTTTTTTTCTTCCTGTTGCTTCCCCTTTACCGACATTCCCCCTTCCTCACACCAATCCTGCTGCCATTTACTCCAAAAGCTGTGTGTTAAGAGTATCTAGAAGGGTGCTCATAATACTGGTTGCCTCCCAGGAGGAGAAAAAAAACACTTGGAAGACAAGAATGGAGAGCAGATTTTTCATTGTGCAAAGCCTTATTTCTCCTCTGCAGTGTAGTATTTTTTTCCAGGAAAAGGAAATGCTTCATTTCTTATAGAATGATAGAGTAGAAATCTCCATTACAACTACTTTTTTAAAAAAAAATTTATTTTATACTAGTTTAAATACAAAGTTGATGTAGATTGTTTTTCACACCAGACATTTCCCCTTTTTACCAATCCCTCCCTCCATCCATCAAATTGTGTGACCCTGTGTTTAAGCCCTTCCCCACTTGCATCCTTGTACACACTCTACAATCATGGTTGTTTACAATATTTGTCTTTATGAGATTGAATTAGTTCACATAGCATAATGTTCTCCAGTTCCTCCCATGTTGAGCAGTAATTTTTAAAATCATTGCTCCTGTATGCTGCATAGTATTCCATTATGTGAATGTACCATAATTTCTCAATCCATTCCATTGTGGTTGAGCATTTGGGCTGTTACCATGTTCTTATGATGGTGAATAACCCTCCTGTTGAACATTGGTGTACAAGTCTCCCATTTGTGCCTCAGTTCTCATTTTCTCAGGGTATATTCCAAGCAGTGGAATAGCTGGGTCCTATGGAATTTCTCTGTTCAGCTTTTTAAAGAAATGTCAAACTGCCTTCCAGAGTGATTATGCCATTTTACAATCCCACCAACAATGTACGAGTTCCTATTTTGCCACATCCTCCCCAACATTTATTACTTGCTGGCCTGCTAAACTTGGCCACTGCTACTAGAGTAAGATGGTATCTCCTTGTGGTTTTGATTTGCATCTCTCTTATTGCTAGTAATTTGGAGCATTTCTTCATGTGTCTGTTGGCATTCCAAAAACATTTTGAACTCTGTTTTGTCCACATTGACTTCCCATTTCTATCTTGAGTTTTGTGCTGCCAAAAACCAGTGGCTCTATAGGAGAAGGATGGGCAGTGTCTTCCCATGCAATTTACAGCCTTGGAAACCCTGGAGCATCAGTTCTGAGTTAGTTCTAACTTGACAGCAGTGAATTGAGTTGAGTTGAATACTCTTGAGTGTTTAACTTCTTAAAAGCAAAGAAAAGGCTACACTGATTTGGTGAGACCCGGGATTTTGAAAATTGAGAATAAGACTGGGCCAAGTCATTTGCCCTCTCAAATCCTCAATGTTTTCATTGTAAAATGAATGGTTATTCTCTTTTTCTTAGACCATCTCGAAGGTTTTTCCTTCCTCAGACAAATTAAATAAGGTTCCTCCTATATATATCTTGGTTTCTGGAGTTTTATACATAAGCACTCCATAATTATTACTTCTTTGGGATGAGGGAAGGAGCTCTGATGGAGTGGTTGGTTGGGAGTTCTGGTGTTGACCCAAAGGGGGCACCTTTCTGATGGCTTTGAGGAAGAAAAATGGACAGTCTCCTACTGTGTGATTTACAGCCTCCAGAAGGCTGCTGGAGATGGGGGGGGGGGTGTCAGTTATGATTTGCTTCTGCCTTAATGGCTATGAGTTTTCAGTTTAGGCAGAAGGAAGCCCTCCGAATTTCTACCACTACCTTCAGTATAGCTTTTTCATGAAATAAAGTTATTCCTACTTGAGTTTTCATTTAGTTAGAGAAGGAAGATTTTGCAAAATAACTGAGACAGACTCATTTTAGATAATCCAAACTCTGCTGCCATATAATCATGTGTGACTCATAGTGACCCTGCATTGGGTTTCCAAGGCTATAAATCTTTGTGGGAGGAGACTGCTCATTGGTGCAGTGGAGCGGCTGGTGGATTCGAAGATCTGACCTTCCATTTAGTGTAACATGCAACCAACTATATCATTAAGGGCCCCTTTTTACATAAAAGTTACTTTTTCCCTCAGTCATTTTTGATGGCCCCTGAACCAGTTTTATGCTACCAGTGCTTAACCAGAGACCACTAAATAGAATTTAACTTTCTTCTCAGTGACAAAGATTATTAAATCAGTGCTTTTGTTTTGTTCAGTGCATTAGTAGGAGGACGTTGAATTCAAAGGAGTGTATGGCAGTTAAGCTATATATTAAATGACTAGAATTCTCTTCCTTTTAGTTAGTATTTATTTGCCTTTTATAATTCTGTATCTCTCACTCTTGACTTCTCATTGTATGCCCGTCTAGTGATTGTACCCCGTTCTCTTTGGAATTTGCCACACTTAGTTTTTAGTATTTGATAAAAAAAATAATAAATTAACATGAAGGGAGGAGTTCCCCTCTGCGTAAAGTACACGTATCTTAGGATATAATTTTCTTTTTATTTGTTTTTGCTGCATGAAACAAGTAGATTTTGTTCCTCAGAATACCTTGTTTGTTACTTTTGAGTAGTATGTGAGGGAAAAGTATTTACTGTTATTCTTTCTTAAAGCAAGACAATACACCTGAGGTCTCTTCCTACTTTTTCCATTTTTCTGCTTGTCAGTGTTTCATAATGAGCTGACCCTAACTGAGCCCCCTTTTCCAGGCAGATAAAGCGTCACTGTGCGGAGCCCTTTACAGAATATTGGACCTGCGTTGATTATACCGGCCTGCAGTTACTTCGTCACTGTCGGAAACAGCAGGCGAAGTTTGATGAGTGTGTGCTGGACAAATTGGGCTGGGTGCGCCCTGACCTGGGAGAGCTGTCAAAGGTAAAAGCAGCAGTTTGTGGTTGTGGTGGTCTTATTCTGACTAAAGGCTGCATAAATGCTGGGGTAGGTTAGAAAGTCTTGGAGAGTACAGATAGGATGTGAGAAACTCAAATTTATCAGACAAATTAGCAAGTGATTATACACAATTTAAAAGGGATTGATAGAAATAGTCCTTTAAATAGATCTTATAGTTTATGATTTGTTATTTATTAATTAGCTAATTAAAGAACAGAGGCAAGTAAAGATGGATAAACAGGATGTTAGGGGATGCTTTCAGTTGAAAACATAACTGAGATAATTGTGGAATTTAGTGGTGAATAGGCTCTAGGAGGATTATGTTAGCTCTCTATAGGACATATTGTTGTTATGTGCCGTCAAGTAGGAACTGAGTCACAGTTGATCCTCCAGCAAATTTTCAGAGGCTGTAAATCAGATGAGAGGAAATTGTCCATCTTTTTCCCACAAAGCAGCTGGTGGATTTGAACATCCTGCCTTTGGATTAGCAGTGCAGCTTCTTACCAGTAAGCCTCCGGAGCTCCCTATAGTACATACCAAAGATATATACATATTTAAAACATAATTGCCTATAGTATTAAGAATGTAGTTTCCTGCTTTGTCTTATAAATATCCTACCTCAGTTGTGATAACACAGAAGTTGAAACATCAGAGCTAGAAACCTGAGTGATTTTATGTATCACCTCACTTTTTATTCACTCAACAGAGTCATCACTTCCTATGATTAACATCTTCTAGTGTATTCTTCAGTGCTGTTATCTTCTTTTTAAATAGATTCTTAACATAGGCTTTGTGAACTCCCTAGAAGGAAGGGGTGACTCAATTTGAGTGTTAGAAGGCAGTGCATTCTTTGAAATTGAAGGATTTAAGATGTGATTACATTTCACTACAGGAATGATCTATGTAGAAAAGAAGTCTTATGTCTCTTTCTTTTTAAAGAGATTTTCTGGAGTTCCCTGTTTCTTATAAGATAAAACATCTTTTCCTTATTATATCATACAAGAGGCTTTCTGATCTGACCAGGTTTTGAAAGGGGGCCTATAGGTTTGTTGAAGCCACCAAATTGCTGTGAGAGCTTGAGCAAATTGCTTAATATTTTCCATCCTACTGCATCTACGAGATGGAGCTAATACTCCTTATTTTCTTTGAGGATCAAGTAAGTGAACCTGTGTGAACATATTGTCTGACACGTGGATGCACGCCTCTGTGTATAACATCTATAGATAATTAAGTAATAGGTAGAATAGTGGTTTAGCGATTTTTGGTTTTGTATCTGGAATGATTATATTCTCTTTGTTGTAGTGTACCATCAAGTTGGAATCAACACATAGCTGACCCTCCTGTAGCTTTTTAGAGGCAGTTAGTTGCACAGGAAACATTACCCATACTTTTCCCACAGAGTGGCTGGTGGCATCAAACCACATGCCTTTGGGATTGCAGCACAGCTTCTTGCCACTAGGCCATCAGCTCCCTTTCTTCCTTTTGGATATCTTCTTTTGCTGAACTGAACAAATTCATGATTCTGAGTTATAATGTGGCAGGTTTTACACATTTAACAAAGAAAACAACTGAATTGTAGTTGACTCAGTGGCACCTAACAACAACCCATTATCCTGGCATCTTGACAACAGTATTAAAAATAGCTTTTGGGACACCTCCTATACCTCAGGTACTATGTACACTCTGTTCTCTTTCATCCTAGTGCACCTGCTGATAGCCCATTTTACAGAAGTAGAAAGTTAAGTAAACTCTCTAAGACCATTTCCTTAGTAAACAGTTTAAATATATACTTTTAGGGGGATTATATAATAGAGGCAGTTGTTTTATTATTCTTTCATATTATAAAAATACTCTCTGTGAAATATTCAGAAAAGTATATAGAAAAACTAAAGATCAGTTTTGGCTAATCACCCAAAAGTAATTACCAGTAGTATTTGTGTTCACATTTTTCCTCACCTTTTATGTCCACACTAATTTATCTGTTAATGAAGTCCTTTTTTTAAAAAAAAGAAGTTAATGCTGGTTTGCATATAAAACTCATGTACATTGTGTTTCACACATTACTTCATTCACACTGTTTCATACAATCATTTCCATACATTGTGGGGTTTTATTTTTCTTTTTTCCTTGGTTTGCTTACAAAGTTCATATACATTGTATTTCACACTGTTTTTCATTCACATTATGTTTTAAAAATAATTCACATGTGTTATGTTTTATAAAATTAATCACCATTTGACCTTGCCCATCATTACCCTGTCTTTCAGCTGGATCCTTCCCATTTCCTTCATCCCCTCCCTCCACCCACCAAACTGTGCAACCCTGTGATTTCATCCCTACCCATCTTCACCTCTCCACGCCCACCCCTGCCCCCCTTGAGCTCCCATGCATGTTTTACTAGTTATCTTTCCTCCTATTTTTACAATAATGTTCTTATGCAATATTTGTTAAAGAGGTCCTTTTATTTAAGTGTATTTAAGAAACAGTTTTCTAGATGTATTTCATTAATACTGTGAATTTCTTAAAGGAGATTCAAATACCAGCTGGAGGCATTTTTAATTACTCTGTCAAGAAATAGGAACCATTAAAGATCTCCTAATTAATGACACTAGTAAATGCCATTATTATCTTCTTTTTGTTTATCATTGATTTTATTAATACAGCACTTGTCTGTCATTCTACTGTACTGAGGTAACTTAAGGGGTTGCTGTGATGCTAAAAGCTCTGCTTCCAGTGTGTCAAATGCCGGAAGTGACACCTATTATTGACAGGTCTCAGTGGAGCTCCCAGATTAAGACAGACTAGGAAGCAGGATTGGCTATCCACTTCTTAATTAGCAGGCTTCTGAAAATCCTATGAATAATAGAGGAACACAGACAGTTACAGTATTAGAGGAAGAGCCCAGAAGAGAAGTTAATAAAAATAAGGAAAAATAGCTGCAGATATCCTATAATAGTAGCAATGTGGAATGTATGAAGTAGGAAACTAGAAGTTGTGAAAAAAGAAATGGAGTGCATGAACATTGAGACTGGCATTGAACACTTTGTATCAGATAATCACATGGAACACTGTGCTGGGAATGAGAAACAGTAAGAATTATGTTGCATTCATAGTTAAAAAGACAATTTCAAGCTCTATTCTGAAGTACAAAGTTCTGAGTGATAGAGTGATAAAGTTCTCCGTACACACAGAGAAGACCTGTTAATACTCACCAACAGCTAAAGCCAAAGAGGATAAAACTGAAGATTTTAACCAAATGTTGCAGTCCATAATTGACCAATCAAAATTAGGTAATGGTGATAGGTGACTGGAGTGCAAAAGTTGGAAACACTGAGGAAGGAATGGTAGACTGAAAGTATGGACTGGTGACAGGAAAGAAGTCGGAAATCAAATCGTCAAATTTTGTACGCTCAATGATTTATTGATGGCAAATACCCTTTAAAAAACACAAATGGTGACTTTACACACACTGGGTAACTGCATAGGAATCAGATTGACCACATCTTTGGTAGGAGTCACTGGAGAGGATCCATATCAGCAGGCAAAACTGGGCCAGGTGCTGAATGTGGCAAAGATCATCAGTTGCTCATGTGCAAGTTCAAATGGAAGCTGAAAAAAGGAAAACAAGTCCATGAGAACAAAAATATGATCTTGAATCTATTTTAATTCTACCTGAATTTCAAAATTATCTTAATAGCTTTGAAGCATTGAACACCAATGATGGAAGATCAGATGAGTTGTGGATGACATCAAGGAAATTATTCATGAAGAGAGAGAAAGATCATTAAAAAAACAGAGGAGCTGAGGGTCCAGGGTTCATGTGCCTGTTTGGGTGCAAAAAAAAAAAAAAAAGAAAGAAAACACCAAAGTGGATGTCAGGAGAGATTCTGAAAATTGCACTACAGCATTGAGAAACCAAAAAGGAAGAGATGCTGAAGTAAAAGAGCTGGACAGAAGATTTCAAAGGGCAGCTTGAGAAGACAAAGCAAAGTATTATAATGGAATGTGCTAAAGAGTTGAAACTGGAGAATAAAAAAGGAAGTCTCTTGGCATTTCTCAAGCTGAAAGAACGAAAAAGTCTTGAGTTGCAATACTGATAGAATGGAGCTAATACATAGAACCACTACACAAAAGAGTATTGGGGGGTGGGGAGGAATATTGGCCAGCACTGAAATATTTCAGGAAGTACTATCAGATCAAGAGCCAGTGATAATGAAGGAAGATGTTCAAGCTACTTGGAAGATATTGGCAAAAAATAAGGCTCCAGGAATCAATGTGATTCGAATTAACATGTTTCAGCTAACAGTTGCAGCCCTGGACGTGCTTACCAGTCTGTGCCAGGAAGTTTGGAGGACAGCTGCCTGATCGACTGACTGGAAAAGATCGTATTTGCTCTCATTCCCAAGAAAGGTGATCCACATGCAAGTGAAATAACTGTTAAAAATCCAATTGTGGCTAACTTTGAGAAGAGTGGGAATCCCAGAACACTTAATTGTGCTCATGTGAAATCCAGAAGCTATTGGACTAATAGAGCAAGGAAACACTACATGGTTTAAAAAGAAGAAAAATGTGTGTTAGGGTTGTATCCTCTCTCCATACCTATTCAGTCTTTATGCAGAACAAATCATTCAAGAACGTGGACTCTATGAAGAAGAATGTAGCATCAGGACAGGAGGAAGACTCCTCAACAACCTGTGTTATACAGAGGGCACAGCCTTGCTTCCTGAACGTGAGGAGGCCCTAAGGTGCTTGCTGCAGATCAAAGACTACACCTTTCAGTATGGATTATATCTCCACAACAAGAAACAAAAATTCTCACCATTGGACCAATAGGCAACATCATAATAGATGGAGAAGAGATTGAAACTATCAATGACTTCATCTTACTTGGCTCCATAGTCAACACCCATGGTACCAACAGTCAGGAGATCAGGAGACATACAGCATTGGAAAAGTCTGCAGTTAGGAACCTCTCCACATTACTGAGGATCAGTAATAGCATTTTGAAGATTAAGGTGCACCTGATTCAGGCTATGGTCTTTTAAATCACTTGGTGTGTATCTGACCACCTTGTGGAATGACATAAGGTAAGCTTTTGTAAATGTTTATGCAAGCATTTGATGAATCTTGATCAAGCTTTAAACTAGAGTAGTAGTTTGGGAAGAATCCCTAGTAGTACAGTAAATTGAGCATTGGACTTCTAACTGAAATATTGTTTTTGTATGCTGTCGAGGCAGAGTCCACCCATAGTTGACCCTTTAGTGGTTTTCAGAGGCAGTAAATCACACAGGAGGAAATTTCCCATTCTTATCCTATGGTGTAGTTTTTTTTAATTCGAACTGCATGCATTTTTTTAAAAAAAAGTTTTAATTTTGTGTATGTCAAATTGGTACAGGAGGAGTTTGCCCTTCCGTCTCCAGCAGAGCATATGGTGGATTCAAACCACTCACCTTTGGGGTTGCAGTACAGCCTTGGATGCCTTTTGGGTTGCAATTTGATTCAAATCCACCAGCCACTCTGCAAGAGAAAAGTGAAACACTCTGTTTCTATAAAAGATTCATAATCATGGAAGCTGTATAAGGCATTTCTACCCCAATCAGTGGAATAGCTGTGAATTGAAACTGACTTAGTAGCCATGGGTTTTGTTTCTAGTAGCAGGGGCAGCAGAAGCAGAGAGGAAACATTGAAAGCACATTGCTTGTCACAGGCTTCACCACCTGAACTTTAACTTTACTCATTTCTTCTTGACTCACCACAGGTCACCAAAGTGAAAACAGATCGACCTTTGCCTGAGAATCCCTATCACTCAAGACCAAGACCAGAACCCAACCCTGAGATAGAAGGAGACCTGAAGCCTGCCAAGCACGGCAGCCGCTTTTTTTTCTGGACCGTGTGAAGATGGGTCACTGGCCCTTGCTCAGTCACGCGCCCAGACAACAACTGATGAGAACGCTGGTGCAGTTTGCATTGTCCGATAGTGTGTGCTTTCCGGGATCACACACAGAAAAGTTAATTTATGTGACTTGGCAGTTATTCTATACCATTTCCTGGCCATTAAAAATTTTAAAGGAAACAGTTGTATTTTATTATGTTTTATGTAACCTTTTGACCTCTAAAGATGACTTCCCCTTGCTTTTTCTTGTGATCCTGCCTGTTCCTCTCTCTGCTTTAGGACGACCTTCACCCTTGTGACAGGGAGCTACACTGGATGAGGGAGGAACGACTGTGTAAAAGGAAAGGCTTTGTTACCCGGCACAGCTCTTCATGGCCAGTCTGTTTCACACATTTGTAGTCCTCTCTTTCTTCGCATTCATCTCAGACAAATAGATTCCCCCAAAGATCATACAAAGGAATAGAAAGGGAAAAAATGTGTGAGCCTTATGACTCAGGGCATGGGAGGGGCCTCCTGGCTGGGTTTTACTCAGTTTTGCTCTGAGTTTCTTAAAGAACCAAACTTCCACCACTTCCCCTAGATAGCCCATCCTCAAGCATTATAACCCAGATGTTTTTCCTGATAGTCCAGGGAGGTGGAGGCTGAGCTCCCAACCTCAAAGCCAGGAAGTCGGAGGTCTGAGTGTCAATTCCAATCTTGGGTGTGTTCCTTAACCTCTTGCAAGGGGTTGAATTTAAGGACAAAGTAAATAAAGGGAGAATGCTTATCTACCTCCCGGGCAGGTTAAAGCCTCAAGTGTTTATAAAACTCCTTGGTTCAAAGCACTATTATGTCTTTTTTTTTTCCCAATCTACTCAGTTCCTTATTCACTACTAGGCTATTTCCTCCATGTGTGACAGTGACTTTACACCTTCTAGATGTGGCCTAAATCCCATAAGACCCTGCATAAGTCATTTCCCTGAGCCTTGATTTCTCATTTACAGAGCTCTGGAAAAGGAGAATAGTTGGATAAGTCTTTCTAAACCTTTTGCTGTTAAGTCAGTTCACACACAGTAGTAGCCATAAAGAATGGAGTAAACCTGAAGCAAAGGGATAATTGTCCAGCAAAGTGAGTTTGAACCATTGGCCTTAAGGTTAGCAGCCACCTTAAAGCTAGCAGCCAAGTGTTTAAACCACTATACCCTCAAGGGCTTCATAGATTTTTCTAGACTAAATCGAATGCCCTTGAGTTGATTCTCTTGGTAGAATCATCCTCCATTGGCTTCCCAAGGCTGTAAGTCTTTATGAGAGGAAACAGCCTGTCTTTCTCCAAATGAGTGAGTGATGGATTTGAACTGATGACCTTTTGGTTAGCAGCCCAACACTTTATGCACTAGGTCACCAGGATTGTTCTGTTGTGTACTAAGTTGGCACTGACCCATAGCTGACTTCCCAGCAGGTTTTCAGAGGCAGTAAATGGTATGAGAGGAAATTGCCCATCTTTCTCCCACAGAGTAGCTTTTGGATTAGAACTGCATACCTTTGCGTTGGAAGCTCAGTTTCTTACCACTAAGCCACCAGGACTGAGTTAGTCTTCCAAAAGCCGTTTTAGTTCTACCATCCTGGAATTCTCTTGAGTAGATCGCTGAGGCATTCATTAGATGAGACACAAGATGTCCAAAGTGTTCCCACTGCTGTTAAAGAGCTTGGCATGATCCAATCCATCTCTAAACCTCACCTTTTCTGACCACATGGTTGAAAGTATTTTTGATGAGTCTCATCATGAGATTGTGAGAACTCTACAAGGCTCAGATCTATTGTTCAGGGTTGCTATGAGTTGTAGTCGACTCAATGGCACTTAACAGACATCCCTCACCAGTACTGCAGAAGTTCCTTGTCAGGGAGCTCTGGTAGCCTAGGAGCAAGAAGCTGCAATCCCGAAGGAGTGCAGTTCGAATCTACCAGATGTTCTGCTGGAGGTGGGACAGTCTTATGTGCCAGTCGGATCTGCTTTGATGGTGATGGTTGTTGATTACCATCAAATCAAGTGCAATTCAGCGACAACAAGGAAAAAAAAGTTCCTTGTCAGTCTCCTTTGCCTCAAATTTTCCAATTTAATGTAGAAAAGTATTGTGTTCTTGTGTTTTTTTAAATAGCTGAGACAATTATTAATTAACCTCTTTGTTCCAAGTAGTTGGAAGGTTCCAGTGGTAGGTAAGTTACAATCAGGGTGCTGAAGATTTGACATTTATAAGATCCCTCACCTGAAGTGCTTGTTGTAGAGGGTCAAGAACTACAGGCTTCATATGTATTGAAGCTCAATATCAAGAAAACAGATTCTCACCACTGGGCCAATTGGCAGCATCAGGATGGATGGTGAAGAGATTGAGATTGTAAACAGCTTTAATTTGCTTATCTCCACAATCAACACCCTTGGCACCAGCAGCCAGGAAATGAAAAGACATACTGGGTTGGGAAAGTCTGCTGTCTGAGACCTGTCCAGAGTACTGAAGAGCAGTAATGTCAGTCTGGAGACTAAGGTGTACCTGATACAGGTCATGGTCTTTGCAATCACTTGTTCTGCATCAGAGAGCTGGACAATGACTAGGGAGGATAGAAGGAGAATTGATGCCTTTAAGCTGTGGTGTTGGAGAAGAATATGGACTGTTAAGGAACAGATTCATCCTGGAGAGAGTTAAACTGCTTCTTGGAGGCAAGGATTCTAAAGGTTTGTCTGACCTAATTTGAACATGTTGCAGGGAGGAGAGGGACATCATGCTTGAAAGGGTGGAGGAACAGCACAGGAGAGGAAGATTCTCGAGATGGATTGATTCAGGGACTGGGGTAATGGGGTTAGGTGTGTTGGAGACAATAAGATTGGCACAGGGTAAGCAGGATTTAGGACTGTTGTACATAGGGTCGCTAAGAGACACAGGCGACTCAGCACATAACAAGATGCCTCACACAGTCAAAAGCCTTTTCATAGTGAAAGACATTCCTCTGGTACTTTCAGCCAAGCAACATTAGCTATAATACCCATAATACCACGACTGCTTCTAAATCCAGCCTGCACATCTGGCAATTCTCTGTTGATATGCTGTTCCAGTCGTTTTTGGATAATTTTCAGTAGAATCTTGCTTGCATGTGGTATTAATGATATTGTTTGATAATTTCTTCACTCTCTCAGGTCACCTTTGTTTGGAATGGGAACAAATAGTATCTCTTCCAGTCAGTTGGCCAAGTGGTTGTCCTCTGAAGCTCTGTTGGATACTTTAGGCATGTTGCAAGGAAGGACCAGTTTTTGGAGAGGGACATCCTGCTTGGAAGCGTGGAGGGACAGTGCAGCAGGGGAAGACCCTGGATGAGATGGATTGACTCAGTGACTGGAGTAATGGGGGTAGGTGTGTCGGAGACAGGTTTGTTCAGGATAGAACAGGGTTGAGAGCTGTTGTGCATAGTATTGCTATGAGTTGCAAGGGACTCGACAGCACATAAGAAGATGACTTAAGCTACATTGCTTCCTAGATTCATTCTGAAAAGAAAATTGGAACTTAATGTAAATAAATATTCCTTGAAGACTGCTTTGTGCTGAGTGCTCAGAGCCCTTTGAAGAAGATAGTATATGTCATGTTTATTTTACAAAAGAAAACACAGTTAAGGATAGATTTAAATGACCCGCTCACTGTATGGATGGTCCAGTGTGCAGAGGAACTGTCTTGTTTCCAGAGGCCACGCTCTTGTCCTTCACTGTATGGTCTTCAGTGTTCTCAGCACCCTGGAATCACCTCCTTCCCTCCCTCTCACTGCCAAAGGAGTGGAATCAAGGCTGTCAATCTTAATGGGAGGCCACTGCTCATCTTCCGCCTACTCCTGCAGAATTACTGGCAGATTCAAACCACCAAAGACTCTAAGCCTCCCCCCCCCACCGATACATTGTTTGTTTTTTTTATGAATTTTAATGAAAGTTTACAGACTTAGGGTTTCCATTCATTCATTGTTGCACTTTTGCCAATTCACTCTGCTCTTTGAAAAGCAAAAGAAAAATTATTTCATTGTTATACAATCCCTCCCCCCAAGTCCACTCCACTGTGCAGACTTCATTCTGGACTCCTGTCACGACAATAATATCTAATCATATATCCCTTTTAAACAGTTCTCTCCCTCATCTGTTGCAATGCAGTATACATTATTTATCCCCTCTGTCTCATTCTTCCTTCAACCCTGATGTCACACCCATTTTACAACAGTGGCACTATGCAACATTTGTCCTTTTGTGACAGAGGTATTTCACTCAACATAATGTCCTCTAGGGTCACCCATTTTGTATAATATTTCATTAATTCCTTGTTTTTCCAATGCTCCATAGTATTCTATTGTGTGACTATACCAGAGCTTCTCTATCCATTTATTTGTTGATGGGCACTTGGGTTGTTTCCAACACTTTGCTATTGTGAACAAATCCATAATAAATATGGGTGTGCATATATCTGCTTCGGTGGCGGTTATGGTTTCTTTAGGGTGTTTTTCCAGTAGTGGAATTGCTGGGTCAAATGGTATTTCTATTTGCAACTTTTTGAGAAAGCACCATATAGCCTTCCATAGTGGTTGCACCATTTTACACTCCCACCAACAGTGAATAAGGGTTCTAGTTTCTCCACGACACACTGTAGACTATTTCACCAGAGCTCTTGAAATCATCTAGAGATCTTTACAATCTGATGTCAGAATCCTACCCCTAGGATTCTGATTTAACTAGTCTGGAGTGTCATCTGGTCACAGAGTTTCTGAAAGCTCTTCAGGCTATTCTAATCGCAAAGGTTTGTTATGTATCCTCTAGCTGGAACTGTCTCCCTCAAGTGGGTTTTCAGAGCCAGTAAATGACACGGGAGATTGTCCATCTTTTTCCTGAGGAGCAGCTGGAAGATTCAAACTGCCCATTTTTGGGTTTGCAAATGCATCTCCTAACACGCTAGGCCAGCAGAGTTCCCAGAGTCAAAAGTGTAGGACCACTGATTGGTTTTATATAGGAAGAAGGTCTCGAATGTTAAGCAATAGTCAATTCTCAGTTGCCATTGAATTGCCTCCTGATGACTCCTATGCATAAAGAAATGAACTGCTGCCTGGGGCTCCGCCACCTCCATGACACTGTAAACTGGACCATTATGATCCATAGAACTGTCATTGGCTGATAGTAGATTGCT